TGAACTAACTATTAAAGGCATTCGAGAAAATTCGGGCTTCAAGATCAAGTCCAAACTTAAACAAGGGGATCACCATTATTGAAAACCCCTTAATTCAAGTTTTCTACTTAACTTGGAAGGCTCAAGCTTGCATTACAAAATTAAACCACTAACTTTAAATATGAATTCAGGCCTTCAACATATTGGGCTTCGAACCCAGCCCATGGAAAAGGAAATTGTTTCAGCCTTGTTCATGTGGGTTGTCTAGAATGTGGGCCTCAGTACTAATAAATGAACAGCCCAATAGGAAGGAAGTAGCACTTAATATACACTGCAAATTTGGGCTTATTCGATCGAGCCTAAATTTTAAACAAGGACAATTGTCCTTGCTGAAACCATAGGCGCAGGTCTGTTACTGAAGTTGAGAGGCCCAAACACATGGTCTCATTGTCTTTTGACCATGGCCCTCAACGTTTTGGGCTTGTAATTGGTCCAGCATTATCTGAACTATACTAATTCTACCCATGGTAATTCGATGTCTAGGCCCAAACGAATCTAACTGAAGCTACTGATGATTTAAAACCACACATGAACATACAGATATAGAATCATGGAATTATAGGAGCAAGACCTAATAAGCTAATGTGCAGGAATAATTTGTAAATCAATTTCATATTTGTCTCCAATTATTAAAGATGATTTGGCATTAAAAGCTGGCTGTACTTTAGTTCTCTAGAATACTGAATTTAAAACATAATCAGGCCTAGTAATTCCAGTAAAATTAAAACAACTTAACCCTAGTCCAATCAAGCTGCATACTGATTTTCAACTTCAAATCTCACACACATTCATTTGTTCACACACTGATGAACTAACATGCTGATTCCTGGATTTTAACAGCGATTATACTTCAGTTACTACCATGGATTGGAAACTAACACAGCTACTGAAATTGACATGAATTTAAATGCTGAATGTTTCTAACAAACAGTCCAATTATACAGCCCTTCAAGTTCAGCTTATGTAACTTTTCAAATCCTAACGACAGACTGAATACAGCACCTGAATTAACATATTGTAGCAAATTACAGACCTATGTAAACATATTAGACAATCAAATTAAAGTAAACAGTAGGAAGAAAAGTCCTAGAATAGAACATATAATATTTCAGTATTATCTTCACATTGGAGTACATATTTGGATTCAATCTTCAGGCATCATTTCAGGCTAAAAATGTACCTGGAATTAGCACAAAATGAGGTGAATCGGAAGTCAGTTGGGCAGTAGTAGAAGAACAGGTGCACTTTCAGCAGGAAATCAGCAATTCCGAGTCAAAAATCCAGGAAAACAAAGGACAGGATGTAGTTGACTTCAAAGTAACTTCAATTAACTAAATAAACCAAGATGAATTTGAAAATCAGGCCTTGATGAACTAATCCAATTAAAAACAGTAGATCTGGAATGGATTCCTATACTATATTTTTGTGTTGATTTTCAGGATTTTTGTTTCTAGGTTCTAATGTTTTTGTATCTAAACTCTCTACTTCTACAGGATTTTTTTTGAATTTTTAGTATTTCCCTCTCAAATTTCTAGCTTCTAACTTTGAATTTCAAACTTCAGGTCTCTGTGGATTTTTAGAATCTGAATTTTGAATTTCAGATTTCTAACCCTCTAAACTTTGAATTTTGAATTGCAGATTTTTGGATCTCTAAAACTTCTCCAAACTTGTTTTGGATTTTTTGATCTATAAACCTTCTAACTTTTTTTGAATTTTTCCCTCCCAAAACTTTTCAGATTTTCTAAAACCTCCAAAACTTGTGAAACAAGGCAAGGGGTATGCCTTTTTATAGGCAAAACTAGGGCAGCATCCAGATTTTTATTTTACACCCTAGGTTCCTCTTTTATTTTCAGATTTTTGACTATTTAGTCCTTTAGTTATTGGCTTGTTGGCCAAGTAACACTACTAAGTCCCTGAAATTCAAATTAGATTCCCCTTCTAGAAGGTTCTAGGGGATCCTATTTTAGTTACTGCAGGATTTTCTTAATTGAACTACCTATACTACCCCTACATTAGTCCTAAAATTACTAACCCATGTTAACTAAACCCCAGCCCCTTTTACCCTGGTCAAAATTGACTATGGTTAATTAACCAAGGAGCTGGAGTGATCAGCTACAACCAAACCAATTCGATCAGCACTAGAAATTAATTCTAATTAACCAAGCGTCTTAGGGCTAATTTTGTTATTAAACTAACAAAACAATAAACTAACGACTAAAATCAAACAAATAGAACTAAAACTACACTATCAAAATGTAAAACAATAGCAAACATGCAATCCTATGGTTAAAATTAAACAGGCAATCAAATCAAATAACAAGAACGAAATTAAAACTGTAATTGGAACAAATTAGAACCCTAAATCAATCCTAACTCAAACAAAAAAATGAAAGAAATATTGAAGACGAATCGAACAAAACAGAAAACTATGCACTAGAGGAGAAATTTACAAATAACGAAGGAAAGGAAATTTAAGAACACTCACTGATTTTGGGCCTTAAATCGACTGACTTTGAATCCGGTCCCCAAATAATGTTATGTGCTTGTTCTTGCCAAGAACAAACACATAGCGTTATTTTGGAACCCGTTCGAACACTGATTAGCCTTGGAAACTCGATCCATTCTTTGAACAAAACCCTAGATTTAAAAATCGAAGGATTACAACTGGATTTTAGGGATTTTGGTTTAGGATTCGGGAAGAGGAGGTCGAGGAGGCCATGGGGTGTGATTTTGGTGAGGTTTGAGGGCGGCGCTGCCACCGGAGAACAAAGGCGGCGGCTAGGGTTCATGGTTTCAAATGAAGATTCGAGGGGTTTGGGCGGGTTTTGAAGAAAACTGAACTTGGATTTGGAACGAGGAGGAGGAGGAGAAGGTGTGGTGTAAATTTGGGAGTCATCAGAATAGTTTGTGTCATCGCCGCCGGCAGATTTGACGGAGAATGTTAGGGCGGCTGGCTTCTCTAGGGTTTGGGAAGGGGGGTTTGAGAGAGATGACGGAGGGGTGGGGGCGTCTTTGGACAGTAATATAACAACCAGCCCTCAGTTCTTGACCGTTCGATCAAAAAAACCTAGACGGTCAGGATTAAAACTCCCCGAACGACGTCGTTTTGAGGGGTTTAGGGCTGGACCGGGTTGGATCTTGGGTTGGACCAAGTTTGATGTGGGATTGGGTCATATGGGCTGCTGATTTAGCATGGCCAATAACGGGCCAGCCTGATTTTGTGCCTCTTTTCTTTTAATTCTTTTCATTTATCTTTCATTTATTTTTTTTCTTGATTTTTGTTACATACAAAAATTAAAATGAACAAGGACCTGATTTTAAACTCTAGAATTAAACTAATTAATTTCAAAGATTCACTAAACCCTAATTTAAAAGGAAACTAAGGAAAAAATCAAAAATTAAAAGTAAAATGCAAAGAGGACTATTTTTGTTATTTTCTTCCATTTCTTGTAATGTTAATTAACTAATGGCACTAAAAATATAAAATTGGGTTCTAAATGCAAGTATGCTATTTTGTATTTATGAATTATCATGCACACACAAACAAATAAAATACACACAAAAATACGCAATTAAATCTTAAAAATCAAATAATAAAAGAAAAAATCCTAACTTTATGAATTATATAGGAGTAATTTAAGCGAGAAAAAAATTACGTGCTCACATTTGTATTATAACAGAGTTAATGAATTACATTCATTCATCACTAGGTTATAAGTCGATGAATTAATTATAAGATTAATTGATATAAGTCGAGACGTTTTGTTTTTAATATTCAACGATGCATCTGAGTAGGTTATAAGTCGATGAATCAATTTACATGTGTATCAATCCCTAAAAGAACCCGACCCTGTGTTCCTAGCGCTTCATGTTCTTTTATATATATATATATATATATATATATATATATATATATATATATATATATATATATATATATATA